GATTTATTTTTCTGAAAACCAAATTGATTTTTATTTATTATACTATATTTTATGAAAAACTCTATAATCCTATCGTAGATGATTCTTTCAAATATTTGTGAGAAGTTGGATAAAAGAGCTATGGGCCTATAGTCTTTGATATTACATTTTGAACCTTTTTTGAGCAAAGGTTTGATTTTTGCTGTTTTTAATTAATGTGGAAAGGTACCAGTTTCTATCATTAAGTTAAGTAAATAAACAAGCGGCTCACTAATATACTCTATGGATTTTTTAATAATTTGGATCGATATATTGTCATAGCCGCAACTCTTTTTATTTTTCAGGTTTATGATTATTTTTTTCAATTCATTTGCGTCAACGGGTGATAAATATAGGCTATGTAGATGTGTAGATGGTAGAGGGTAGGTATCTGTGGCTTGTGTTTGAGTGTTAATGGTAGCAAAATAAGTGTTAAAAACTTCTGCTATAGCACCTGCATCCGTGAAATTAGTATTATCATATGTTTTGTGAAGTGGTTCGCTTTATTATTAAGTACCATGTAGCTTTATTTTTGTTGTTACTATTTTTAATGAATTTTATATTTGATTTTAGTTTTGCTAAACGTGTTACGGATTTTAATATTTTGCAGTATTTCTTATAATACGGTATTAATTCGTTTTTCTTATATTTCAGTATTTTTTGATATAAGTATCTTTTAGTTTAACACGCTCTTTTAATGCTAACTGTCTGCCAATTTGACCTTTTCTTAAAAGAAATTCTAACCTTTTCTACAGGTATGCAAAGATCGTATAATAATTTGAATAAGCTAATGAAACTATTATACGCCTGATTAACATCACGATACGAGAAAACTTCAGAAACACTTAATTGAGAGAGATATTTTAGAAAGATAATTAAATACTTATTTTCATTCCTCCTATGTACATACCAATATTTTTCAATATAACCTTGATTACACGGTACGTTTATGTATTGTGCAGAGTGATCAGATAATCCTAAATGTAAAACTTTTGAGCTGCAACCTTTAATATTTGTTATGATATTGTCTATGCAAGTTTTCGATTTTATTGTTATCCTAGTTGGTTCATTTATTGTTAGTTTTAAGTTATATTTTAATACAGTAGTTTAAAAAGTAAACATTTTGGAGTATTTTCAAGTAAATTAATATTAAAATCACCGGCTATTATTACTTTTTTAGTCATATATCTTGAACGTACTGTAATTCTATGTAATAGCAAATGAAATGTTTTTATAAGTATTTCAAAACTTGAGTCTGGAGTTCTGTAACAGCAAACAATAATGTAATTTAATTCTGGCAACAGTATACCACAACATTCTAGGTATTTATCTATGCTAAATTGATTTATACAGGGAAGTGTAATAAAATCCATACTATTTTTAACATAAATACAGACCCATCCTCTGGACTCATTTCTACAATATGAGTGAGCAACTTTATAGCCTGGAATTTTTAGAAAATTAACATCTTGTTTCTTTAAAAAAGTCTCACTAATACACATAATATCAATGTTTTCCATAGTTAATAGAACTTCTATCTGGTTGAGTTTAGACCTTATGCCCTGAATATTTTGGTGAAGTATATTAAGACCGTTTAGAACTGTTTGTGCTTGCATATTATTTAGTTTATTGTTAGTATCCTGTAAAGGAACGAAAGGAGCAACAAGGTGTCTTTCTTTTCTTCACCGGACTAACAGGACAAGAGGTACTTTTAAAAACAATATTTGCATTTGGCTGTTCTTTTGCAATATCTGACATTAACTTATATAAGTCATTCAAGACAATATAAACACCTTTTATATTTATTTTGCCTGAATATTTCGAAAACATAGTATATGAATATTCTAAATGTTTGTTTGAGTCCAGTATACAGCAGTATTTGTGTATTTTATTATCCGAGTATAACAAATTAATGAATTGTTCAATTCTTTTATTGAAGAGACTAAAATTATAGCTATATTTATATGTCGGTAAACAAATAATAATGTTTGTGTGTTGTACAGCCAAGATGCGTTTCTTTAACATATATACAATATTTTTATAATTTTTGGAAACGTTAAAATCAGTATCTCCTATCATAAGTATGCAATAATCGTTTAGAGTGAAGTTCGCGAGCTTCTCCTGCAAGCCACGTGACAGCTGGTCTAAGTCGCCGCCTGGTGTGCGATAGTGACAGTATGCGGCGCTCTGCTCCATGAGGTTGTTTCTTATTATCGAAGATTGCTTGTGGTTACTTATACTGCTGATTATTCATATATTGGGTTTAATGTTAAATTTGTGCTCATTTGTATAATTAAGAGGCTTAGATGTATCGCTCTTGTTATTTCTATAGGTGAAGTCTCTTTTATTCACATGTATGGGTATAGTTGCAATGTGTTTTTTATTACAGTCTTCAGGCATTGGTACTTCCTTTCTGGAAGAGGGATACCTCTTAATTTTTCCAGACTGATTGCTGAGCGGGGTAGACATGCATGGGTTAATTAGAGCCTTATTAGTGTTTAATTCATCTATATTTATGGTTTTGTATAATTCTATAATTTTCTGTTGCTCTTGATTTTTTATTTATTTGATTATTTAGTTCTAAATTTATTGCGTTTAAGTTTTTAATTTAATTGTTGGCTATGTTAAGCTCTGTTTGTAATCTCATCAATTCCGTTTTTAATATTAGCAAATTATCAGTAGTTATTATTTGACTGAGATCTGGAAGACTATTTGAGCTTCTTGAATCAATAGCGATATCATTAATAGACATATACGATGTAGACAGATTTTTTTGAGAAGTCTGTTTTTGTTTTTTTCTATGAGTAATATAATTAAAAGATTCTTGCGAAGTTTCCGTATCTATTTCACTGAGAGAATAAAAATAATTTTCAGTAGGAATATTAACTTGAATTTTAGTAAGATCTGGCGTTATATTGTATTTACAACCGTCGCATTTTAATTTTTTTCTATTTTCTGTAGGCATTAAGTAGACCTTTTTTCTCCTATACTTGTACAATCTATGTGATAGAAGTTCTGGCAATTGGCACAAGTTATGTAATTTTTTCCAATAATATCCTTTTCACAGTTATCGCATTTTAGTGTCATCTTGAATAATATTTAAGGAAAAAAATAGAAATTAAAAATTTAATAAAATAAAAAACAAAAACTAAACTTATTAAGAAGCGGTGCGGGTTTGAAGCCCGACTGTTCGACGTCAATGTTCGTACTTATCCGACTAGGCCAAACGGGCAACTATAAGAATATATGAAAAATGTCAGCATATGCGGATAGTAGACTATGGTCGCAAACTGACAAATGGAGATAACCGATTAGACAGTTCAATGAGTCCACCACATCACGAGCCACAGTATAAAACGCGCACCAAAGTTTGTTTTGTACCGTCTTTTTCAAATATTATTTTATATTTTTTCGTTAAATAACTTATAGTTTATATTGCTCACAGTCACAACTGGTTAATATTTATGTTTAGAACACTTTTTACATTTTATTTTATGAGAAATGTAGCCATAGATTATTAATCGGTGAAATTCACAATACACAGAGTTTTTCCCACTTTTTTATATTTAGTCCTCATAACAAATGTAAATGACATTCAATGAGCATAACTGTATTGTCTACTTTAAGTTTCACACACAATAATTAATATTAACACGCTGATATTATTTTAATTACGAATCTAATGCGGAGATAATGTTTACTTAACGACGCCATTTTTTTTTTGAGACATTACAAACAGACACTTCAATGTTATTTTTTGTATAGATTAGGGTCAAAAAATATAAATTTAATCTAATAGGTTTTCGCCCCATCATTGCTACTTTGCACTTTTGATGTAGTTCACTAGGTAATGATTTCTTATATTTACGCGAATATTACACATTGAATAAAACTACTTTTACGGATTGTATCGCGGTACAGAATCCGTAAAGTTTTATTCAATAGTTCACTAGATTTTCAGACTACTATTTTATTTACTAGATGATAGAACTTCTTTTCTGCGTAGGAATTCGTCTGAAAAAACCATATTGGATAATGCCTCAGAGACACTTCGAGCTCCCTAAAGCTGAATATCCTTAATACAGGTATAGTCTAGCAAGAAGTAAAAAACGTCACCCTGACAAGTGGTTTCACCTAACTTTAGTACTATTTCATGTAAGGTATTTTCTGTATGTACTACAAGTTTAATAAATATTATTAAATTATTAAAAGAATATAATGTTACCGTGAGTTACAGTAAGTCGTGAAGTAAAACTTATTTCCTACGACTGTTGTAGCACTTACAACTGAATATACCTTTATTTTGTTCTGACAGTCTACTTGGCGGTAAGTGGATGCTGTGGCTCGTTGAAACCTACATCCATTTTCGATTAAGAATCAATACTATGCGTTGTTCAATACGACGCGTTGTCACCTCTGAGAACTAAAATAGAATGTCTCGTTTAAAAAAGGGTGTCTCGTTCACATTTACCATTCGAAACACAGAAGCATTTCACTATGGTATTTTGTGAGAGCATGGTCCATCCCTGGTCAAGACGATTCATTCGTGCTACAGCCATAATAAGCGGCACCCTGGCCCTGCCAAGTTAAAGAAACAATACCTCATCATAAATATCTTTTAAAATCTTCATGATCCTTCTATCTGTTCTTGTATTTTTCAACAATAGCACTTCGTCGTGAATTTTTATGCCAATGCTAAGAATAACTCTATACTAATGCGTATTACATAAATTGCGGTAAGCATCCAGACCCGGAATACTTTTTTTAGTGTGTTAAATTTGGGGTACGAGATCCGAACCGGCCCCAATACGCCGCATCCATACGCTTAGGTAATGCTCTACCGAACTACTGTGTGTTGCTAAAGAGGCGAATTTTCTTCACTGACAGAACTGGCAATAATTACAATTAACGTCGTATACTGTGTAAAAGGTTCTTAAAAGTTTTTTTTTTAATGCAAATAAACATAATATTTATCTACTCACATTGGCTTTTGTTTAAATCCCAATCTGGAAAACGTAGCCCGAGCGCAGCCGTAGAGTTCATCTTGATTTTCTTGTCACGGATGGACTGAAACTGTACATACAACTTTTAAAGTCACACTGCAACTGAAGATGAAGCAACACGATTTATATGTGCTAGGACTATTAAAATTCAATTTTTATTACATTGTATTTTCTACAAACGGAGTTGCCAATGTGGCTAAATATATTTTTAAATAAATATTTCAGCTGCTAAACGAAAATGAGGGCACTGAAATGAATATTTAATATCTAATAATATTTCCAAGCTAGATAGTCAGCTAGTTAAATTATAAAAATTGCACACACATATCGTAACTACTAATCAGAATATAATCAAAATATAATTATTATAGTTTTTTTGATTACTTAATATTTGACAGTTTTGACACTATTTTGACGACTAATGTCACTTTTATTAAATTTTTCTTAATTTCCATTTCGTAAAACAAAATCTAATTTACAACTTTTTAAAATTAAGAGAAAAGAATTACCCTGTGACGGTGCGCAAAGGAATCTATCATCTCAGTCATTTTCCCGTCGCCTATTTTTATATTTATCTGTAGCTTCTTACGACACCCATGAGATCATAAGATGGGGTTGCGAATTCATTTACTCCGCTACTACAGTGTAGGTACACATGGATTTCTATGGGCGAAGTTTATGTTCAGCTGTAGACTTTTGGCTCGAAAGTATGGAATGAAATGGAAAGTAAAGGTAATTAAAAAATAATAATATATAAATAATAAAATAATTAAAGAAATAACATAACTTAAAAGTTATTAACATATTATAATGTAGTAAGTAATTATAATTACTTACTACATTATAATATGTTAATAACTTTTCTGTATAGTTAATTTAAATTAAGTCATTAATCGAGAAAATTTAAATGTTAGCTAGCTTTTTCACGCGGTTTCGCTCGCATGAATAATTAGTCAAGCAAATTAAAATTAAAACTACTACTAAGTTTGTAAAATTTAAATAAAGTCTTCACGCTTTTGACTGTGTGTATATTTCCTATATGGTTGTTCTTTTGGTTTTAAATAAAATATTTTTTTGAGCTTTCTTTATCAATTTGCGTATAAATGAACACTATTATACGACATGCGACATAGAAAGCTTTGCGAAAAAAGGTTTTGTTTTGTATGAGATACTGGCCAGTTATTTTGAAAATATGATCATTTGCAAATAAACCTCAGAACAATAACTAAAGCAAGTTATTGTTCTGAGAAATAAACATACAAATATTCACTGAGAAATGGATCTAAGTCAGAAAGAGTGTAATGGTGTTCTGTGGTCAGTAACATATTTGCCCAAAGATTTTTTACGATTTAAAATACTGGGGCACCACGTGAGCAGTCTGGAAAATCTACGTCAGCAATTGTCACAACGTGTGGAAAGTGAAAGTGTGAAACAACGTGAGCAACCTCTGGAAGATCTACACCAGCATGCGTTACAACGTATTGCCCATGAATATGGGGAACAACTTAAGCAACGTCTGGTAGATCTACGCTAACGTGTGTCACAACTTGTGGCTAGTGAAAGTGTGAAGCAACGTGTGCAACGTCTGGAAGATCCACACCATCATGCGTCACAACGTATTGCTCATGAATATGGGGAACAGCTTGAGCAACGTCTGGAAGAATTACACCAGCATGTGTCACAACGTATTGTTCATGAAAATAGAGGATAACGTGAGCATCATCTGAAAGATCTACGCTAGCGATTGTCACAACGTGTGGCCATTGACATTGCAGAAAAATTGTAAGCAGCGTCTAGCTGATCTACGCTAGCTTACGTCACAATTTGTGGCCAGTGAAAGTGTGAAAGAACGTGAGCAAGGTCTGGAAGACCTACTTTAGCGTGCGTAGTAAAGTGTTGTCTATGAAAATTTGGAACAATTTAAGCCCCATCTGGAAGATCTATGCCTGCATGCGTCACAACGTATTGCTAATGAAAATGTTAAACAACGTTAGCAACGTCTGGAAGATCTACGCTAGCGCGCGTCATAACTTGTGGCCAGTGAAAGTGTGTAACAAAGTGAACAACGTCTGGAATATCCACTACAGCTTCCGTCACAACTTATGGCCAGCGAATGTGTGGAATAATGTGGGCTACGTCTGGAAGATCTGCAACAGCGTGCATCATAAAGTGTGTTTTAGGAAAAGGTCGAGTAACGTGAGTAATATCTGGAGAAACCACGACAGGTTGATCTTAACGCATGAGCAGTGAAAGCAACGAACAACGGGAGCACCAGTCGGGAGTATAAAGGCGGCGAGGCATAAAATTTTGCACAGCCTTAGAAACATAGACAAAGAATATACTGGCGTATAGACGACCTGATAGTCCGAACACGCGTGACTAATTTTGATTTGTCACTGTGTGCGTTAGCTAGTGATGTACATTTCATTTACAAGGACTATCTAAAATGGTAAAAAGATTTAAAAAAAATTTAGAGCACGAAATTTTTTTTATAGAAGGGCGGGCAAACGAGCATGCGGTTCACCTGATGGTGAGTGATTACCGCCGCCCATGAACAACCGCAACACCAGGGGAATTTGAGATGCGTTGCCGGCCTGTGTGTTTGCGTAATTGACTTGAATAGAGTTAATGTGATAAAACTATGGCGACCCCTGCCACGCTATCCATAGACATCTGCAACATCAGGGGACTTCAGTCGAATCTTAACGTGGTCCACTACCATCTAAAGACGGCGAAACCGGTCTTACTATTTTTGACCGAGACGCAGATGTCCTCTACTGATGATACTTCGTATCTGTCCTATCCGGGCTACAAATTAGAACACTTATTTGTGCCCCCGGCTGGAGTTTGCGTATACGTTAGAGAGGATATCTGTTCTCGCCTCCTTTGACTGCACATAGATAGCAACCACCATCCCCGCATCTACGGGTGCATCTATAGGTCCCATAGCGGTGATGCCGACACAGACTTACTCATCGACCACATTCAAATGAATACAGGTTTTTTCTCTCGATTCAGATCCCATCTGTACAACATACATATGCTTTGTATTACTAAACTTTGGCTATATCTGCTATATAGACTATATTATAATTTACTGTTTAAATTCAGAAATCACCAGGTGGTCAGTTCCTTCAAAAACTTTTACATGGTGGCTCCTTAATATTAGTTGATAAATCATATTTAAGTAAAATTTTTGAAAAAAATATTTTAGATCAGATGTTAAGTTTTCGTTTTAATATACATAAATTGATTCATAAAAATCAATTTGGTTTTACAAGGGTTCGCTCGACTACCGACGCCGGAGTCGAACTTATAAAACACATTTTTTGTGTATGGGAAGGATGCTTTGGGTGTGTTTTGTAACCTTTCCAAGGCCTTCGATATATTATATATTGTCAATGGTAAAAGTTCTTCCGGGTAGCCCGCAAAGATGGGTGTCCCGCAGGGCTAGATTCTTGGCCCATACCTATTTTTAGTGTATATTAATAACTTACCTTCCCTTGTAGTATTATTTGCTGATAATACTTCCTTGATTTTTAAACTTAAACGTCTATCGTTTAAATATGACGAAGTGAATAATGCTATATCAAAATTAGTGCAATGGTTAAACGTTAATAATCTGCATTTAAACGGCAACAAAATCAAATGTATTAAATTTACAACAACGAATATTAAAAATCTGAATACCCATGTATTTTAAAATGGGGAAGAATTGAACCATGTTGAATCCTCTGTTTTTCTTGGCATCACTCTCGACGCGAAGCTTCGGTGGGCCCCCCCCATATATCCAAACTAGCAAGCAGACTAAGCTCTGAAGCTAATTCTGTAAAAAATATTAGAGATCTTGCTAGTGTCGAGACAGGTAAATAAGTTTATTTCAGTTGTTTCCATAGCATAATGTCTTATGGAATTTTTGCTGTGGGGAATTGCGGCTGATTTAGAAATTATCTTTGTTTTGCAGAAGGAGTCACAAGAGCTATTTATAACCTTAAATCGATATAGTTGCTTAGAGAAAAATTTAAAGAAATAAAAAATATATTTACTTTGGCCTCTTACTATGTTTACGAAAATTTAATGTATGTTCACAAAAATAAAGATAGTTTTAGTAAAAAAAGTCATATATACTCTGTAAACACTAGGAACAAACACAAGCTAGTGACACCGGTCTCTCGGCTCCACCGAGTCAGTAATTCACTCTTGGGGCAATGTATACGCTATTACAACAAAATCCCAGAAAATATAGAAGTAATAGAGATTACTGAGATTAAATATTTAATTAAACAAAAGCTGTATAAAAAGGGTTATTGTAATATAAATGAATACATGGTTGATAAAAAGCCCTGGGAATAAGGTGGTCGCTTCCAAGCTATTTCTAAAATAAATTTTATAAACAGTTTGTAATCATTTGATCCATCGAACTATATGCCTATCGCCAAGACCTCCTTGTTCTCGAAAATAATGGAGTCCATTAATAACTGCCAGCTCATGCGGTACCTTGAGGTGCACCAGCTGATTAGTGACCGCCAGTACGATTTCCATTGGGGTTGCTGAGCCGGTGATCTTCTTATTTACCTAACACTCAGATGGGCGCCGACGATCAAATCTAAGGAGGAGGCTGTGGCGGTTAGTTTGGACATAACGACGGTCTTCGACCGGGTTTGGCACAAAGTACTTCTTTCGAAAACTTCCTTCCTATGGGCCTCCCAAGAAATCGTACAATTGAATCACTAGCTTTCTGGCTGATCGGAGCATCAAAGTCTTAGTAGAAGGTGCATGTTCGGATTACAAGCCTATGAACGATGGTGTTTCACAAGGCTGCGTGCTATCACCAACGCTGTTTCTTCTGCGAACCGGTAACTTTCATTGCTATTCGGACGACAGCACTGGTAATGCTTTATACAGCGGCTGTGCAAACCTTTCTCGGGAAAACATCGCCAAAAAAACAACCAAAACTAAATCTAGTCCAGTTTAATCCACAGAAGACACAAGTTTCCGCGTTTACCGCTAAAAAGAACTCCTTTATCGTGTATCCTCCGT